CCCAAAAATTTGATTTTCCACCTCTTCCTTGGACTTTTAGCTTCCATGCTGAGGTGTGGGTACGTGTTTCGGCTTTCTAGTTCCCTACTGCCCTGTTCTACGTGGAGCTGCTTCTCCCAGCTGTTCACTTTCTCCTTTGTTTTGCTACCCGGTTAGCTCAGTCCGTTGAGCGCGGTGCTAACAACGCTAAGGTTACGGGTTCAATTCCCGTTCGGTCCCCTGATCTAGTCAAGAGGTGGCTCCCTGGCGGCAGGGAGGCTGGATGAAATGATCTCTAAGGTCCCTTCCAGCCCAGGCCATTCCATGATTCTATGAAAATGTGTTCTATTCTCTTGACATCACCTCTCACTCACCGATGTGAGATGCCTGAGGCTTTTTCTTAGCTATTGCTTTACTTGCTGGAGGAGTAGAGGGTCACAGAAGCCTCAGTGTGAAGGTCTAATGATTATTTTCAGTGTGCCCCTGGGCCGTGTGCTCTCTGCCCATCACAGGACTAGCAAGGGGTGGAAGAAGGAACTACTTGTAGAGACGAGTATTTTGAGCAGCCCCTTACCTGTTTGCGGGGAGGGAGTTAAGCTAAAGGTGACGCTTCTCGATCAGCAGGACTCTTTCAGCTCGGAGTTGAACAGTTTCAGAGCTGCTGCTTTATTTCGTCTCTCACTGCAGGTGACCGAAAGCTTCCTCAGCAAAGAAGTCAGCTACGTGGTTTCCAGCAACAAAGAAGCTAAACAAGACAAAGCCAGAACTCGGACCGAGAAGCGGAGCAACGTGACTTCAGGAGATGCAAAAGCCGTGAGCTCGATGCCTTCTACCTCCAAAGGGACCCACACCAGACCTCACCAGAAGCCACCGGACACTGTAAGAGCTCTAAAGGTTTAGGCCATCCCTAAGTCTGGCCCAAGGGATCTGTAGGGTAGAACCTGAGAACAGGGTCGAAAGGTGAACTTGTTCCTGCTCTGAGTAACCTTGTGAGGTGATTTTTTTCCCCCTGGTCTGGCTGGTTTTGTTTGTACCCACTGACATTGTATCTCCTAAAACACACGTCACAGCTTGAGCTCATAAACAAGGATACCTCCTCAAACGGCCAAGGGAATAGAGGGGGCTTGGCTGCCTTCCCAGCGGAACCGGCGGTCGTCCTAATGCCGGGGTGTGTCTAGAAAAAAACAGAGAAATGTGGACGAAAGCAGCACGGGCTCTGGATGTGCCCTCACAGACACGGGTAGGACAGAGCCTCTGCAATGTGGGAGGAGATCTTTGCAAGCAGGAGTTTCTCTAGGTCCCAGCCTAGGGCTGGGATTTCGGGTCGGTAGTGCTTGTGGCCAAAGTGGCTTCCAGCGGACACCAGTGTTCACCCTGTGAGGAAGGCTGGTGTCTGCTGGAAGCTGTGACTGGTGGGGGGACCCTGCTGCCCCAGCCCAGGCCCACAGGCACCTCTGCCAGCTCTGGGACCTGCCTGCAGGTGGGAAGCCCAAGCTGATGTCGGGGGGTTTCGCTCACGATGTTTGTTCCCTTGTCCTTGTTCACGGCGCTGTTCGTTTGTCTTATAAAAAACTTGTTTCCTGAAATCCTTGGCTCACAGGTGAGCCTCAGAAGGGCCAGCGAGGGTGTTCCCAGCCCCTGCCAGCCCGGGCAGATGCGGCAGGTGGAGTCCCTGAGCGAAATTTCTGCTTCCTTTTGGCTCGCTCTGGAGGAGTCACTGCTGTTCAATAAAAGCCTTGGCTGAACAGCTGCTCGGTGTAGCTCTAATGGGGTTTGTCTTCCCTGGAAATGCTCGGTCCTGCTGCCTTTGAGATGAGGTCTTGGCCAGACTCCCCTCCCCAGCAGAGAGCGGGAGTCACGAGCCATCGCTCTTGCTGGACGACCGTGCTGGCTTCGGCTCGCTGCCTCCTGGTAGCTCTTTGCTTTAACGGAGCACTTGTCTTCTTTCTCTGCAGGCCCTGATCAGCAGGGGGAAGGAATTGCTGCAGAAGGCGATGAAGAATCAGGTGAGCAGTGCCTGGACAAGCTTTTCTCTCGCTGGTTCTGTTTAAAATACCGCTGAGTAGCATGGAACCAGTGCCAGCCACTTCTGCAGAGCCCCTGCCTGCTGGAGGGAGCAAATTGTGGGGCTGGTAAAGGTAGGAAGCTGCTGCTTGTGGCTCTGCAGAATATTTTGCAGTTCTTCACGAGTGCTGTTCTTCATGGAGCCACGTCATCCGTCCGTGTTAACACTTCTAGGGCCTGTTCCAGTGATCTGGGCACGCAACGCAAGAGCATTATTAACACAAGCCCCGTTGTTAGATGAATTTTTAGCCTGCAAAGAACTAAAGCCATGAAGCTGAGGCAAAAAGGCTCCCACTGATACCACAAATGACCAAAAAGAATCTCGGTGCCCACTTAGAAGCTCATGCTCTAGCAGGGATTAAAAAATTTGGCCTAGATGCGACTGTTAATTTGGGGCAGATAAAGCATGAGTTCAAATCTTTTCTCCTGCACCCCGATTTTTTTTTTTTGGATGCAAGGGTCTGTCAACCAGGGGGGGAAAAATTCTCTCTAAACTAGATTTAGAACTGCGTGTGCTCGCACGGTCGTTGCTGCTTCGAGCCGTGCCGTGCCAAACCTCTCTGTCTGTGCAGGACGCCTGCGGTGGCAGCAGCATCCTCGCCAACGCTCGCCTGTGGGGAGTCCAGATCGTGCACGTGGACGGTATCCTTCTCTGCAGGCTGACAGCTCGGCGTTGGCAATGAGCGCTTTTTGGAGACAGGTGGAGCAGAAGTGATGTAAGCGAGCGTGGCGGGGAGGGGAGAAATTGCCAGCAGGACCCGGCTCTTGGCTGGTGCCATCGTGGCTGTGGCTGACTGGGTGTGCCCTTCCGAAAACCAGATGGACATGGATGGCAGGAACACGCCGCCGTCGTGTTTACAGCAGCAAGCACTGAATATGTCAGAATATACTAAAGCTATAATGCTAGAAAAAGCTAATAGCTTGGTCAGTGCCTTAATTTGTTCCAAAAAAGACCGTTTTTACTAATTGCCTTGGGAGTACAGATGATGGTAACGGCAGGATTTGGTCGGGTTTTAATTAGGAAGTGCTGATGTTTGAGGCCCTGTGCTGGAAAACGCTTCCCTTTGGAGTGATGAATGGGGAGGGGGTGACGGGCAAGACAGATGGTGGAACTCTGCCTCTAATAATAGGTCTGGAGTAAAAGGTTCCTGAGTGTCCGACGACAGTGACGTACAGCTGGGGCTGAGCCTGTCTGGATGCAGGATGGAGGCAGCTGCTGCTCGGACGCGTTCCTCTGCAGCTGGCTCGGGGATCCGAACCGCTTGGCTTTCAAAGGCCAGGGGCTGGTCTGCGTGCTGCGAAATTCCTGACGGCCTTCTTTCCCCAGGATCTTAAAGCCAGCCTCCAGCTCTGCTAAAAAGCACATCCCTCAAAGCGCTCCTTGTCTGGGGGGCAAATTAACCGTGTGGCGGGGCCAGCGGGCGCCGCGTGCTTCTTCCCAGGCGCGGGCAGGGAGTTACGCTCGTGCCGCAGTGGGTGGAGGGGGGCAGCTCCCCTCCTCTCGGCGAGCTATGGCTCCTTGACATCCCACCTGCACAGAAATGTTGTCGTACGCTCAGCAGCTGCTGCGTGCCGTCTCGGGAGCGAGGAAACGGTGCCAGAACACGGAGGTAATTGAGGAACTCAGGCTCCCTTGGTAGCTCCAAGC